TGTTCAGTCATTTTCCAGCTTAGTGGAATCCGACGAGAGCGCACTACATGACCTCACTCATAGGCCGATTGCCAACGACTGACGCTTCCTGCAGGCGGGAAAAAATTCAGGGCTGTGCATGACTGTCCCCTCCACAACTCCACCGAAGGAGGCCTGTCGCGCATCATTGGTTTACGCGGAAAAAAAAAAAGGTCCGATACTTTTTGAACAGACCTTGTATAATCGAGACGGGTTGATAATAATAATGATAATAATAATAAGTGCAGAGCCCAAACGGTTAGGAGTTGAAAGTTGAAATTTGGTACACAGATAGGGTACGTCACGAAAACGCACACTAAGAAGGGATTTTCCGAAATTCCCTCCCGGGGGGGTAAGAGACAGGATTAAGTCTTCTATATACATTATGGATACGAGCGCAAACGGTTAGGAATTGAAAGTTGAAATTTAGTACACAGATAGGGTACGTCACGAAAACGCACACTAAGAAGGGATTTTCCGAAATTCCCTCCTGGGGGAGAAAGACAGGATTAAGGCTTAACACTTCCATCAACAATGGAAGTGTTAAGTAACAATGGTGGTGTTAGGTAACAATGGAAGTGTTACGTAACAATGGTATTGTTAAGAGAAAGCGACGTGCAAGATTTACAGGCGCAGATGCAGTTCTTTCGTTTTTTCGGGAAATCGAACATATTTTTAGAACCATCTATAAGTTCTCTAATTAGTCTGGAAACAAGGGGACTCAATTCTTGCATTCTGTGAAAACGGATAAGGTTGACTGTAACGTAATAATCTTTATCTTAGTTATCGTTACTTTTGCCCGAGCAACGCCGGGCCCACCTGCTAGTACTGGGATAAATAAGAAAATTCAAGCTTTTTTAAGTACATCACTCTCGAAACGGCTGTACCACACTTGCATCGAATCTAAAATAAGATATGGTATTGCTGTATGACGCCGTTAATAAACTTCGGATGGCACAAAATCGTTACACTCGTTCAATTTATAATTTAAACTTTATGGAATCAGTATCTGAACTCTACCGCACCGAAAATATTGACAAGATTACTGAAACAGATTCTGTTGGAGGGTTTTAAATATATAAAGAACAAAAAGGAAAACAGCTTCCTCGGAATTGGTATAGGAGAATGTCGTGGATCAACACGAGATACTCGTATAATTCGTGAATATAGTCTCCCAATTGTCAAACTGGAGGTGGGGAGATCTGCACCGATCTTTCAATTAATCTTCTATTGGAATAGTCTGTGCAACGATTTACTTAACATATCGAGTTATGAAATCGTCAAAAAGAATGGAAAAAATGGAAAAAACTCTAAGCCACAGTGATATTTGTTCTCAATTCTAGAATGTAATTTACTAATTTAAGAATTTAAGAATTGAAAAAGAAATTACCTTCAGAACAAGGAATTAACATAGAATTAGAAATAAATATTTGTCTAAACAAATAAGAATAGGCATCCATAAAGAAGAACCAAGCTATTATGACAACCTTTTAGTAATACCAACTCTCCGGAAGATTTTTGAAAAAATATAAAAAAATTACGTTTTAATATAAGAAAACAGAAAGATGACGTTAAAATAAAATTACTGCTAATTAACGGAAATCTACGAAAAAACAGGAAATTATAACCGAAACTTTTGCAGAACATCTTAACTGTGCGTGAATCAATCTTTAAAGCTAAATTCGTCTAAGAGAATACTAAATTCTTTAGTACTAAGAGAAACAACTGCAAACGAAGTCTATTACACTATAATGAACTTAAAAACTCGTACTCCTCACATAGATAATTTAAATATGTACTGTACATAAAACAATTGGAGATATCATCGCTACAATTTCATCCTTTCTGACAAACTAATCCTTCGAAAAAGAAACATTTCCGAATAAATTAAATTATAATATGGTCATACTGATACATAAAAATAAAAAAATCAAAAAGCGACATACACAATTACCGTCAGATTATTATCATCCCCGTTCTAATAAAGATAATAAAATAAATCTATAAAAATCTCATGCTGATAATCAAAGCTTTCCTTTGTTATACGGTTGCAAACAATAAACTTCAATCATGTCTTGATAATTTATAGCATTTGTACGACGATTTATATCATCCAGTTTTATTTATCCACTGTAAAAAAGCCACCTAAATCATATCTTCCCTTTCAGTTGCAGCGAGGGTCGATATTAAAGCCCCGATTCCCATAGCCACAGTACTCTAGTTAAACTATAAAGTAGAATAAAATCACTCACATTATTAATTGTATTTTGACCTTTCTGGAATTTGCCAATTTTGTAGTAACTGTGTTCATATTTTGCTACCGTCATTTTCGAAATTCTCGGAAATTTGTTTTCATTGGAATTTTTCGAATTCCTCAATTTTCTGTGTGAGTTTTCGTTTTCTTTCTTTATTTCTTTATATTTTTTATTCTAAACTTTTTAAAATAACATAGAATTGAATGATTTTAATTAATGGAAAATTTTGAAGAACGATTCGACGAAGACGAGTTCGACAATGGTTTCATTTCATTGTTGATCTGTTAACAATTTAGTCTTATAATTCGTACAAAATTTAGATATTTGAAAAATAAAATATTATATTTTATTTATGGAAGTTTAAATGAAGAATGTAAACTTCCATCGCATGAAGAATGAAATGACATTAAACCGAGTTGCGCGATTACATTCTAAAAATACGTTTTTAACATTAGTGAAAAAATCCTCAAAATATAGAATTACAAAAAGCAATTTGTACATAAAAAGACTAAACCTATTCGTGTTAAATAATGCTTCCTCTACTTAGTAAAACAAATGAGTCATTAATTAATGATGTAAAAAAAATGGAAAATATGAAGAAACGATGACTCAAAGATATCAGTTATCAAATGAGGTTAAAAGAACATGACAGCAAACACGTAGTTGAAAAGATGGCTTACAGTCGTTGACCAAAAGGATTGCTTTGAAGGTGATAGTTTTAAACTATTCAAAGCAAGCAACTATAAGCTTCTGCATCCTTCCCGTACAAATATAATAGACACGACGTGTTCGCTTTTTATTCTCTGTTTTTGCGCTGTGATGAAGACATTTCGAGTAATATGTAAATAGATTGGTAGATAAAAGGGGAGTTACTATACTTCGAGTCTATTCCTTTCTCGGTCCGAAGGATCATCATAAAATCAGAATTTTTATTCGCCTTTATACAGACACGAAAATATTATATTTTTCAATTCATATTACTTGTCAACACGAATGTATATGCAAGGAATGATCCGTCTTTTCCACGACAGGGAGGCGCAAAAATCACGAAATTCGATGAAAAATCCAAGCTTTTTACATTAAATTTCGTGGCGACGCAACGATAAAACTCCAACAATTTGTTGCGAGCGATTTGATTTTTCTGTTCGTGCGATTAAAATTGGTTTATTTCAAGCGTTTTCTGAGTTTTGCATAATTTGCAGCGATTTCATCGGTAAGTTCAGACCACGAACTTTCTAAATCTTGGTATTTTTGCACATTGTTAAGCCGAATATCACGATTTTCCGACAAAGCTGCATTTAACCTTTTGTATCTTGGTCACAGAGACGTATTGTGGTCACAGAGACGACGAATGGGGTCTTTCCGCTCATTTTGAGAGATACTTTTCACCTTTTTTATTGTTAATTTTCGTTAAACCCAAATCCCATCGAATTGTTAAAGATTTGTAATTGTTAAAGCAAAATGGGAATTAATAAATACAATGAATTGTTATTTTCCGCTATGGTTTATATCCTTTATGAAATTCGCGCCGCTTTAATTAATTAGAATTGCTCAGTTTTCAAAAATACTTTGTGTTGTGTAATTTGTATAGACCGGTTTTTTAAATTTTATATCGAACATTAAAATTACTATATTTAATAATTAAAGATTTTATCATAATATTGATTTGTGACTTTTATTTTAATTAAAACGACCATTTTCTCCAGTCTTCTATCGTAAATATTTACTGCATTTGAACATGAAATATCTATATATTTCTCACTCACAATTTAGATGAAATTAAGACAATAGGAATATTTCTTAATTAATGCAAGTTCTGTTTTCACAACATTCGCTCATTTTTCTTTGCAGAATGGAGAACTTCAAAGAATTAAAGGAGTGGCAGACCTCGGGCCAGGGCCATGCCGAGTCCGAGGACGGCGCCATGTTTTGGCCTCGTGTAATACGGGTGCTTCCGAAAGATGCGTACAAGGAGTCGCGTACACCCGACGTCAAACGGTTGGTCGTCGTAACCGAACGACAGCGCCTCGTCTCTCGTCAATTATCTCCAGAGGCGATATCCCGAAGTTGAGGGATGGATGGTGGAGACTACACTGGACAGAAAAGAATCCGAAGAAGTGTGGTGAAGCGCGGAAGGCCTCGGTGGAAAAGGTTGCTTTTCTGCTGCTAAAAGTAACACTCTTTCTGCCGAGCCTTTTTGCACTTTCCACCGAATGTGACACAGCCACCCGGAAGTGACCTTTTCCCGACTATGACACTTTTACCCGGAATTGACTTTTCACCCGGCTACGACTTAATCAACCGGACTTGACTTTCCATCATAATTTACGGACGGATACTTGGACAACATTCGAGATTCGTTCTTCCACTTCGTTTAAAGTGCATAGAAGTGACAACGAAACATTGAGCAGTGTTATCGTGTTTAACACTTGTTACGCTGTTGTTTAAACGACTATAACTGGCCAAAACAACTTATAATATTTCTACTAGTAAAACGTTTCACCACAGAATAACGGGAGGAAACCATTTGCACCTTGAACTTTAATTAACATTACAGTGGATATATGTCTAAAGCAGAACTATAATTACTTCATTAGTTAAAATTGTACATGGAATTTTCACCATTGTATATAAATTCTTATACTTAATAAAACTTATTGAATTTAATACTAACTGTTTAAAGATTCGATATTTATTGAAGTTACACAATTTTAGATTAATTTAAAACTAATAAGAATGTTTTTAACAGTTATGACGGGGAAAAAAAGTGTAAACGATTCATAATGAATGAAAAAAATTCAAATTTACTGAGCAAAATATAATTTTAATTCGTTGAATGTTTGTAGGAAAACAATGGCATTAAAAATGAAATCATATTAAATCGAGGTCTGGCAGCACATTTTATAAATACGTTTTTAACATTAGTAGAAAAATCCTACAAAAATACATTTACAATAAGTTATATTTGCATAAAAATATTAGGCCTATTCGTTTTAAATTTCCTATATTTAGTAATAAGTGACTCATTATTAATGACGTGAAAAAAGTAAAATATGAAAAACACGATGACTCAAAAGTATGGAAACGATTTTAGGCCGTTTTCAGTTATTAAATGAGGTAAAATCAGCATGACGGGAAACATGCAGTTGAAACGAAGGATTACAGTAAAGCTTCCACAAGCTGTACCAGCGCTGGAAAAAGATGTATCGTCGACTAACAATATTGCTTTGAAGGTGATTTAAACTATTCAAAGCATTATCTATAAGCTGTCCTCGAACTTTTCTATCTTACCACGTAGAAATACAATAGAAATGACGTGTTTACTTTTTATTCTGTATTTTTGCGATATGATGAAAACATTTCGAATTTTGTGCAATGTCGCCGCGTGTGTTTATCGTTTCCGATATTGTGTTATTAAATTCATTGAATGTAATAATTAAGTTAGATAATTTCAGACTTTAGTCACATTTATAGACGGTTGGATGTGAGCGTTCAAGGCGGCAGCTTATTGCTCTGGGGCACCCGGTATCGAATTCGGACGGGTCGAAAAATTCCAGGAATTCTTTGGGGAGAGGTCTGTTTTGATACGTCGGGCCTGTCCCTCACCACTCCTGGATGCCCGTTGTGGGCCTGACCGAACCAATAATGGTCTTGCTAGAAAAAGCCATGTTTTTGTCAGACAACGTTACACAATTTAATGATTTAAAATACTAACCAAATCACGAAACCAATATCTTCTAGGGATAGAAAAAATAACTCAAAATCGTTATGATATCTCTTCTGTCACAGAGAAAGTAGAATAAATAAAAAATTATGAGTATAGGGTAGTGAAGTGAGAGAGGGTGATAACTTCTAGTGTTTTTTTTAAACTCTTTCTGCCCTGTGGACACTAAGAGGACCTCTTTCATCAAGTCTATTGTGGGTTTGGCCAGGCCCACATTGGGGCTGCCGGTAGTGAGGGACAGGTACCGATATATTCGAACAAACTGCCCGAAAAATTTTTGGGGATTTTTCGATCTAGTCAGGATACGATTACGGATCCACCAGAACGGTAGGCTGTCACCTTTTTAGCTCGGCCATTCGGATGTCTACTTCTAGCGTTTAAAACCATTGTGAGAACAAAATCAACACAATCGAGAATCCCACAAACAATTAATGTTATCCTTTTCCTTTCCAAAAAACCAACAAATTACAGGAAACATTAATTTAAGATTGCAAGATGATGAAATTAAGAGACAGAAAAGACTGACAATTTGGGAAGAAAGATATCTTCCTGCAATGTTCTATGGTAAATCGCGTGTATTTGTGTATTACACAGATAAAAATTTGTGGCCAGTTTTGTGAACAGTCGAGATCCAGCGACCTGTTATCAGTGCTTTTATTCACTCCACTGCTGGCGTGGCTTCCAATAATGCTAGAATTAATGTATAATTTTTCGTACTAAATTGTTATTATTATTTTTTTGGCTCTTAAAGACGATCGTTTTCACGGTTAATGGACTAATTCTTTAAAAACATACAAATTTCGCAAATAAAAAATAAAAGAAAAGTATATCCCTATTCATAACGTATTTGCAAGACATTTCAACAACAGAATTAAACTCATGATTCGCAGATGTAGTGTACTTCGCTTATTTTAACCCCCTTTTCTTCTTAAATTTTTCTAACTTTTCATATATAGAAACAGTGTAAAGAATATTACCCAAAGGAAAATTTTGTTTTAAAGTATTCGCAGAAATTATCTTTACAGATCCTTTTCCTTCATTTATACGAGGTTATTGCAACTGCATAAACACCTATCAATTTCAGGATACAGAGAGCAATTATACTAAGAATATTATTTCTAGAAAACTATCATGTTTTTAATGACATATTTATAATAAACAAACAATTTACAGTAAAGCGTCGGTTATCCGAAGGTCGGTTATCCGAAACGTCGGTTATCCGAAGGAATTCCAGTTGACAAATTTAAATTTTTGCTATTGCTGTGGCACTGTAATCTTTGGCTATGTCTTGGGTTACTCAAATATTTTACGTTTTTGATACTAAATTAACTTCTGAAGTATACTTTTTTATTGTTTTTATATTTTTCAATATATTTATTTTGTTTGTACAAAATAAAAAAATAATTTTTAACGATACAATAGTCTTCGTTAGGCTTAACATCGACGAAAATTCAACGCAAAGCGACATGCAAACGAAGAAAAATTAATATATTTTTTCGTACATAATTGGTTATCCGAAAAATAAGTTATCCAAACAACCCCAGTCCCCAATTGATTCGGATAAACGACGCTCTACTGTATTTAATTTCGTTTGAAATACGTATACATTAAAACCTTCTAAACGATATAATCTATATAAATTCAAGTTACATATTAATTTTCTCATGTGCGATACAAATAAAGCATTTAATTTTATTCAAATGTTTATCGATTAAAAGTTTTGCAGTAATTTAGGCGACAGAAAAGTAAGTAAAATTTTTAATAATTACTATGACTGGGGAGAGCCACGAGGACCGAAAATTAGACGATGCTAGTATAGACCAACGATGCCAAAATTGTGGCTCGCGAGCCGCTCGCTGCTCTTCAAAAGCTTAATTATGGCTCAACTAATAAATAAATACATTATAATTCTAAATTCTTTTTTACTGTATTTTTATACCAAAAACATTGGATTCCAATATTTGCAAATAGGTAACTAGAGCTCCTACAGCAAAATGTCTGAAACACCCTTGGTATTGAGGAAACACGAACTATAACCGCTCGTTGATCCTTTAAAAGAACATTTAAGGCCAACATTCACAATTACCAATATATGAAAGTCTCCCTGTAACTTCATTTCTGACTTCTCCTCGTATACCAATTGTTAACGTCTGAGTTTATTATCTTAAGTTCTATGTCTACAAGAAAGATACTTCAATGAAAATATCGCATAATTTGGGCACGGTTAAAACTTTTGGCCTTTTTTTTTTAATTCTACAAATTTTTCATTATTGTTTTTAAAAGGGAACTGTGTAATACAAAAGTGTATTACAAAATAACATTTCATTATATATTATTTATTATTGAAATTATTGCTGTTACAAAATGATTATGAAATTATTTCATAAGTTTGCATTTTCATTTGTAAAACTGTATAAAAGATACTTACATTATTATTTCAGATATCATTCATCTCTTTTTTGTTATATTCTCAAAATGAAAGACGTATTAAGGTATGATTTATATGAAAATTTTTGAATGAATGCTTTTTATTACAGATTGATTTGAATTTTACAATAATATTATAGAAAATTTACATTTAATTTTGAAAATATTAGTATTAATATAAATATATTCTCAACTAAAAAAAGCCATAAATTCCACATCATTATGATATCGCAGACGAAAAATCTCTGATTTACAGAAGTCAATGAGAGTTCGCACAATAAGGAAACTGACGAGTCGGTCGAATACAGGCTGTCGAAAAACACCAGCAATTTTTTGGCAGTTTACGTTCCGGTAACGTTGAACCTCATTTGAGCCTTGCAAATGCTGTTATAGATACAATTAATTGGCTATGTCGATGCCCACAGAGCAAATACAAAGTGATGTGGAGTTTTATTCACTGCACACTGCATTTATTTACAGGACTGAATCTATAATTAGAAAAATTATAAATTACAGATTTGGATTATTATTCTTCCTCCTAAATGTCATATACACCCTGTCAGTTCACGAGAAAAATGAAACCAAATCAGGTAGAAAAGAAAACATTGTATTTTTCAGATAATAATTCCATATTTATAAAATAATTTAATACATATTTAGGAAGACAACGGAGGATTGTTGGAGGTGAAATCGCTCGTGATAAAGAATTTCCTTATATGGTATGTTTATTCATTTAAACTTTTATTAAAGATCAGATATAATGATTTACTTTACAGATATAAACTTATTTGATTTAGGTAGCATTGTTCAGAAAAATACATAACATTGACGACTTTCGTGCGGGTTCTACATTAATATCAACACAAACAATACTTACAACAGCGCATTGTATAGTCGGGTAACGTTTATTTCAATTTTTTTTAACTCTTTTGACGAAAATCTAATTTGATCCGAATTCGGACTCTGGGAACTTTGAAACGTCAAAAAATGCAAAAATTTTGGGGTTATGACCGTATGTAGGATTTGTGTGTGTGTGTCTGTGTGTAGGGGTTTTTGATTAACCTCTTTGAACCTTAATGAAATTCATCTTTTCATTCAATGCCTTCCTAGAGAGTACAATTAATGATTTAAAATGTGATTTGATAAAATTTATATATATATATATATTGTTTACGTATAAAATAATTTATTTTACTTTAGTGTTGATATTCGAGATTTATTTGGAAGAGTCGGTAACGTTAATAAAAACCTGGGAAATAAAATATTGTTTGATAGAAAAATTTTGCACCCATCCTTTAATGGAACACAATATCTTTATGATATCGCCGTTTTGCTTCTTAATAAACCTATCGAACTTTCACCAAATATTCAACCAGCAGCTTTAGCCGCAGTTGGTCTACGATTTACTTCTGGTTATGCCGTTTTTGTCGGTTGGGGTGACATTGAAACAAGTAGGTTTATTTGTTTATTTTTATTTACAAATAGTTAAATCTTTAGTCATTGAAAAGAAAATAAAACAATTTTGTAATATATTTAAATATACAAGTTGTTCCCTATTTTTGTGGCAATACACCTATATACAAGGTGTTCTCTCAAATATCCCTATTTTTGTGGATTAATTTTGGGAAGAAATGTAAGTATAGTGGCAATAGAAAATGCATCTGAAAAAGTTACTTATATTTAATCAGTACATTTCCACATGTGGCAAGTATGTTAAGGATGCATGCTGTTAATGGCACATGCAATTCTTGTATGCAGGACTCTAGTGTCCGACACTTTTGTAGTGCAGACATGATCCTTGAAGTGCCAAGAAAGAAAAAAGTGTGATAATAAAAAAACCAATTTCAACACAATAATGACACTAAATAAAATTTGGTGTGATTAGTCATTAATGAATATCGTTCACAAACAACATATTTTGGCATGCAACTGGAATAAAGTAAATGAAAAATTTTTTAATACAATTGTATTCATTTCAGCATTATATTAATTATTATATTATGATTTAGATATTTTATATTTTAAAATTACTATTATTTTACCTCAACTTCTTCAATATCTGCATAACATATACGTTCACAAATCAGCTGTGCAATTCGATCACCTTTGCATACTAAAAATATTTTAAAAAATAATTAAGTTAATTTATTATAAAAATAGAAATTTAATTCATTTAGAATAAAACATTGCATCTGACTACTGACTAATTCAAAAGTCTCCACACATATAGACAAAGGATTTGTTTTATTATACAAGTCATTTATAAGTCACAGAATATGATATATGCAAGTAGTATTTACACAAAAAATGTATATGAAGAAATTCTGTATTAATCAATTTCTCTATTTGTAATTTAGCAACAATCCAGCAAATATCTTGCTGGATACAACTATTTACAGAATATGCAAAATGTACCTTTAAATTCTGTAGGTCCAAAATTAAAAAGAATAACTCCAAGATTTCCTCTGTAATCTTGGTCAATCACTCCAGCTGCAACAAATAATTTTTACTCTTAGATCCAATTATTATAATGCTTTATTTAATGAAATTTATGTTAAAAAAATATCAATTTCCAATTCCAAGAAACACTCAATTACTTTTAATTACAAACAGAAAAACTAAAAGTAAATATAAATAATTCTATCTATAATAATTACTAAAAATTCAATAAATTTTTTTGTAATTATTACTTTTAATAATAAAATTACTTTTATAACAATTTCATTTATTACAGATATAATTTATATATTAGCTGAATGTAAATATACTAGTTGCTTTAAAACAATAATTACTATGCAAGTAAAATTACCTCCAACGTCAATAAAATGTTTGCTGGCTAAACCAGATCTAGGAGCTGAAATTTAAAAATAATCAAAAATATGAATTTTAAACAAAATTTATTTTAATTTTTTTGTAAGACAATGCATGAAGATTTTACTAACCAACTCTACCGTAACATCCTTCGGGTATAGCCACTTGAATGTCTGTTTTTACTAATTCTTTTCCCATGGATGGTATTATGTATTCGTAAGCACTAAAATTATAGATCATTATTAAATATTTTAAAGTAACTTATTCAAAATTGCAATTTTTTAAAAAAGGTTAACAACTAACTTCTAATTCCATTTCAATAAGGTCAGTTAAAATATCAGAATTTTCCACAAATTAAATATTTCTTTATTTTATATAAACTAATTCTATCTTACAGTAACCACAAACTAACTTTTCTATCTTGAAAATGATAAATGTATATAAAGAACATAATTATCAATCTTAAAATAACAAGTAATGAAAACATGCAGTTTTAAGATTTATAACACTTTTTCCCATTCTTATGGTACTATATTCACATTGCCCTAGATGATGATGANCTTTTTCGTTATTTGCAGTGATTTTATCGGTAAGTTGAGACTACGAACTTTATTAATTTCAGCATTTTTTAACATTGTTAAGCTCCGAATATCATAATGAGTGGCAATGATTTTCCGACAAAGCTCCATTTAGATAACAATTGATGGGTTTGGTAACAGAGACGACGAACGGTGTCTCCACTTATTTTCGAAGTTACTTTTCACCCTTTTAATTGTTAATTTTCGTTTAGATCTAGTAAATTCAATGGAAATTGTAAAAGAAAAACAAGAATTAATAAATACTTGAAATTGATATTTTCCGCTATGGTTTATATACACATTATATTCCGTACAAAATTCACACCTCTATACTCTATACTTTAATAAATGAAGATTTCTTTATTTTCAGAGATATTTTGTGTTCAGGCAATATGAAATGTTTATTATAATGAAAACGATCATTTTCTATAATCTTCTATTATAAATCTTTATTGAATTTTAAAATGAATTTTACATAAAAATGTATAAATTTCTTACGTAGAATTTTTAATTAATGCAAGTTCTGTTTTCACAACATTCGCTTATTTTTCTTTGTAGGATGAATAATTTCAAAGAATTGAAGAAGTGGCATACCTCGGGCTATGCAGAGCCCGAGGATGAGGTCTCGTCTTCACCTCGTGTAATCTTTCGGAAGCACGGGTGCTTCCGAAAGATGCGGAGGAGGAGTTGCGTACACTCGACGTCAAACGGGTGGTCGTCGTAACTCCGGACGACAGCGCTTCGTTTCTCGTTCATTATCTAAATCGGCGATATCCGGAAATTCCAGAATGGACGGTGGAGACACGATCAAGTGAGACGGGATTAAACAGAAAGGAGTCCGAAAAAATGGTGGAAGAATCCGTCGAGCGTAAGAGGCCTCGGTGGAAAAGGTTGCTGCTGGAAGACATAAACCTCTTCTCTGCCCAGGCCTTCCTGTCCGGATTTCGACTTGTCACCGAATGTGACACAGCCACCCGGAATTGACCTTTCACCCGGCTACGACTAATCAACTGGACTCGACTCTCCATCCCGATTTACGGACGGATTCTTCGACAGCATTAGAGATTTATTCCTGCACTTTGGTTAAAGTGCATAGAACAAAGATAGTAGCCTGACATTAAGGACTGTTTTCGTCTTTAATTAATAAAAGATTGTTACGTCGTTGTTTAATCCTTTGAGTCCCAACTCCAGTTTATTTAATATTCCTTCCAGCGTTGCATGATTTGGCTACTTTGCGCCAAAGTTGGCTATTCTTTGTTTAGTTTTGCGTAAAAAATATCATTTGGCGCATTGGCTACTTTTTGGGCTACATATTATTTATAAATATATTAGACGAATAAAAATGCACTTTAAAATGGTGTTTTGTCATTTGTTTTTAATTAGACACCCAAATAAAGCAAATATTTTTCAAATAAATTTTTGTTTGTCTCCTTTATAATAAACGAATTTATCTATTTCTAAGTAAAAACTGAAAGTGTCTATAGAAGTAATTTTTTAAAATATCTTTTTTCCTGATAAAGATTTAATACTTATTA